AAATTGACCTTCTGACTAGCATTCTCTTAAAAAAGAGCACTAATCTTGCTTTTTAAACACACTCTCTTTCAAAGAGTGTTGGAATTATGTTTTGGAAACGGGTTTTGCTAAACCTGTATTCATAAGGTTTCCAGATAAGATCTATCCAAATGATATGGGCAGATAGCTGTGCAGAAGCCAGGTGTCCAGACATCCTGCAGCCCAAGCCAAAGTGGTCATGTAAGGCAGTGTCAGCAACTAAAAAGGGGAACAAACACTCCGTATCCTAAACCGCTCAACTTTTTTCTCTGCCCTGCATTTGTGTACTGTATGTCTTCAAGTGATACCTGACCCCTGGAAACTCCCTAGGTCAGGGGTAGGCAACTTGGCTCTTTTATGACTCGTGGACTTCAACTCCCAGAATTCCTGAGCCAGCCAAGGTTGCCTACCCCTGCCCTAGGCCAATGCTTTTCAACCTTTTCACCGATGGTATCACTTTTAGGATATGGCAATATCCGAGTACCACCAGTCGTCTAGCAAGGTGTCAAAAACCTGATGACCAAACAAAAAAAAAAGGAAAAAAGTGATAAAGTACAGATAGTCCCCGACTTACAACAGTTTGCTTAGTGACTGTTTGAAGTTAACAATGGAACTGAAAAAAGTGACTTATGACCATTTTTCACACTTATGACCGTTGCTGCATCCCCAGGGTCAACGTGATTTACATTTGCACGCTTGGCAACTGATTCATATTTATGATGGTTTCAGGGTCATGTGATCCTTTTGCATCCTTCTGACAAGCAAAGTCAATGGGGAAACCAGATTCACTTAACAAGCGTGTTATTAATTTAGCAACTGCAGTGATTCACTTAACAAATGTGGCAAGAAAAGTCATAAAATGGGACAAAACTCATTTAACAAATTTCTCACTTAGCAACATAAATTTTGGGCTCATTTGTGGTCATAGGTTGAGGACTATCTGTACACCTACCTATCACACTTTTAATAGGAAACGTGTGCCTGTTTCTCTGATATTAATCTTTGCATTGTTCTATGATCCCAGGGGTCTTCAAACTTGGCCCTTTTATGACTTGTGGACTTCAGCTCCCAGAATTCCTCAGCCAGCATGCCTGGCTGAGGAATTCTGGGAGTTGAAGTCCACAAGTCATAAAAGGGCCAAGTTCGAAGACCCCTGTTCTATCCCCTTCTCTCCCTCTGCTTGTCTCAAAGAAGCCTCTCCTCTTCTCCATCTCTCTTTCTCCATCATCTTTTTTCTCTCTCTCTCTTTCTCACCAAAACCTCCTTTTATATCCTCTCCTCTCTTCCCCCCTCCTCCTCCTTTTCTCTTTGGTGCAGCTCCAGCTGACGACTCCTCTCCAAGGCTGCTTGTTGTTCCGTCTCTCTTTCTCTGTCCCCTTCTATTTCCCTGTTGTTGTTTTTTCTCTCTCTTTTCCGCCAAAACCTCCTCCTTTTATATCCTCTTCTCTCTCTGCCCTCCTCCTCCTTTTCTCTTTTGGGTGCGCAGTAAGCACCGATCAGCATGTAACCGTGTGTGCAGATCCTTGGGCTTCTGCAAAGCCCCGACAGCCCTGCAGCTCCAGCTGATTCAGGCTTGTGTGGTACTGCTGCTGTTTCAGCTCATTCCCCTCCCCTGCTACACTTGTCTAGGATGGTCGCATACCACCTGTCAGGTCCAAAGTACCACCAGTGGTACTCGTACCATCTGTTGAAAAACCCTGCCCTAGGCAACTCCTTGCAGTTTTCTTGGCAAGGTTTTTCAGAAGGAAATAATGTTTGCCATTACTTCCCTCCCAGGGCTGAGAAAGTGACTGGCCCAAAGTCATCCAACTAGCTTCTAGCCTGATGCCTTAACCACTACACCAGTGTTTCTCAACCTTGACAATTTTAAGGCATATGGACTTCAACTCCCAGAATTCCACAGCCAGCAATGCTGGCTGTGGAATTCTGGGAGTTGAAGTCCACATGCCTTAAAATTGTCAAGGTTGAGAAACACTGCACTACACCAAACTGTTTCTGAAAGTGGTCAAAATGGAACTGAGTTAGTCACCACATCATCAACCAATATTAAACCACAGATTTTCAGTGGTTTCAGGCAGTGGAACCTGTTCATTAATATAAAATTCCTGGAATCAAGAGGATTCAGGCTCTTGAATGTCAGCTTGACAAGCCCTGCCCTGCTCTTTCCTCTGGACTGTAGAAAATTGATCAGGGTTGTAAGTTGCTGCATCAAGACGGGAGTTGATGCCTGAGGGCATTGGACGTTTTCTTCTCCCTTTAATCCCTTGCAGAGAATAAAACTAGTTTAGGGAACTAAGGTGGGGGGGAGGCCTTTCTGCAAAGGACCAAGTGGGGGGGGGAAACTTTTTGAGCCCAACCAATCATTTTTTCCTGGCCTCAGTGTTACTCTTGAGGGAGATCCATAGTGGTTTTTCTAACTGACCAAAAGAGGAGAGAGAAAGGAGCAAGCAAAAACAAAACTCGCTGCAATAGATTTAAGTCTTATTTTTCCCCCCATAAGCCCTGCAGAACTCACAGATTGGAAGGCACATCTTACCCCAAAGGAAAGAAACTTCAAAAGTTATTTTTCTTATCACGTTTAGCAAAATATTTTGATAGATTGGTAAAAAATAAATATGGCTAGGAACTCCATCCTCCATGTTTAAAGACAGTCAAACTTACAACTTTTAGCTATTGACTATACTGACTGAGCAGACAGAAGTCTATCATGCTAACTCAATCTTGTCTATCACTCAGGCTTCATTGATAAATTCTAGAAATATTACTCTTGAACTCGTATCATCTTCCAGCCCAGCCACTTTGTTGAATACCAGTTCAGGAAAACAGCTGTGATCTTGGCATGAAATGTAACATGGTGGTACCTGAACTCTCTTGTGCAGGGGTCTTCAAACTTGGCAACTCCCAGAATTCGGGGAGTTGAAGTCCACAAGTCCACAAGTCTTAAAGTTGCCAAGTTTGAAGACCCCTGCACAGTCTTGTGTGACTGCCACAGCCTCTTAGTTCACAGTTGGAATGCCTGAGTAGATTGTTGCTCATTGGCATGGATTGTCCCAGCTGCTTTGCTAAGCTTCTGGCGAGCCAAGATTAATAGAGTCACCCAGGCATTTATGGCACAAAATCCCTGTTTGCACTAGTGATTTATCACCTCTCTTATGCCTGAGTGAGTAGTGTGGGAATCTCCTAGCTCAATTCTTAATTATGTATTCTGGATACATCTGCGTCCAACTGGTGCTTGCAGCATTCATCATACATACTGGATAAGGAATGCAGGCTCTTTGAAATCCTGTTTGTTGCATATTCTTAGAACTTGGAGTCATTTCTTTCCTCTTCACACCTGATTTATTTTCATTGCCAATATCACACCATACATAAATATTGGCTTCTTGAACCTAGAAATTTACAGATCTCTCAGATAAATATTCCACTGTAGAACTCTGTAGGCCTTTGTGGTATTTCTCTAAAGAAAACAGACTCACGTGATCCTTTGGAAATATATTGGTTATTAGAATATAGAGGATAACTAAGTGACAAGGAGACTCCCAAAAGGAGACATTGGGGTTTTTTGCCTCCAAAAAAGAGGAGGGTATGGAAAACAAAATGAGGGCAATTTGCTACCCTTTAACAATTGCTGGTATAGCACAGGGAGCCATTCATTATTGCTGGCAATGTCAGCAGCGGATTAGCTGAACATTTTTCCATCTTATAGTCAGCAAGTGATATAAGAGTCTTAACTAATAGCTAATAGCCGTGTCTTAATAGTTTATAGTACGCTGTTGTATTATTTAATACAAGCAGCTGAGTGCAAATGAAATGGCCTTGTACTTCATTAGGAACATGCATGTTTTTTCCCAGGCTGCTTGCCTATTTTCCTGCTGTTGCTTCACTCTGAAAACAAAGATTTGTGCTTAGGAATTTATTAGATGTTAGATAAGGGAGATGGAAATGTACAACATTGCAATGCACTCCTTGGACCGAAAGTAATTGTACTTTTACTATATGTTTTTTTCTCTTTTAGTTATTATATGGTATATAATTTCCATTATATGTCCATTAATGTCTTTAGAAACATGGTAAGAACAGATCTGTGTTATACATGGAATGTACAGTATAAGAAATTGTATCTCTCCATCGAAGAAAGGAGTTAAAACTCTCTATAATGGAGGAATTTGTTTCTCTTCAGCAGTAAATCTAATGGATATGGCTTGAACTATATTTATGCGTTTTTAAATTTTCTATTTATTGGTCATCTGAGATACCAGCTAGGTTTATTAAACCACGAGACATCAACATTGATTGATATATGCAAACCATGGTTCATAAACACAATGGCAGAGATTTTGCAATACTCTATATTACACTAAGACAAAATCAGTCAAACCTCATTATGAGTTACTATTAATGCATTAACCTAGGTATTGCTTAATAAAGATTTGATTGCAAACACTTAATTGCTAGGGACATTTTTTTCTTATGGCCTAACCTTTTCCTAATATTGTTCAAGTTTGGTCTGAAATACTGTATGTGGCATTATTAATGTTATTGTGTTCAATTATACAATGGTTGCTGCTTATAATGTTGGAGATGTTCCTTTAGATTCTATTCTTAGCCCTTGAATGTATCTTTATACGAAGTCTTCTAGCCTGCCATATAGTTAGAATTATAACTCTGGGAAGATAAGCCCACTTGTGATTTAGTGGGGAATGCGCTTTCTCTTGTACAACATTTGGTCAACAAATCTTTGTAATAGGCAGCATTTTTTCTTTCCTCTTAATATGTGTAGCACTGGAAACCAAATATCTGTATATGCACTAACATTCTTGAAGCAATGCAAGGAAAATAGTTCCATACTCTTGAAAACTATGTCTCCTTGTTGGTATGTAGCTGTTCACTAATCGTAGTTTGCAAACAGATTCATACAATACTATTTTAAGAGAAAAATAATCACGGGCTGTCTTATGGTTGTTTTTAATTTCCAGATAGTAGTTCTTACCCCCCCCAAAATAGGCCCATTGATTAACTACTATGAAGTGCATTGGGCTTTCAGAGACCCAGAATCTTGCTCTGGTGTTGGAATACGCTCTATCAAGAGAAGCAAAGATCTGGAAGGCACCAGTCTTCCAGAACTTCACACTGAAGGTATGTTCTCATATGTGAAAAGGTGATCTGTACTGAATGAAGTTTAAGGGCCACATGAGATTAGAATTGCCCTCTGAATCCCCTAAACCTAGATTGGCCATCACATTTTCCCCACAAGCAATGTTCATAATGACACGCAACAGCTTGCTATCATTTTCATTACAATAAATTGTATTCTAAAGTGAAGCTAAGTAAAACCTGTCCTTGAAGACCACCTGGAAGCTATAACTGATCCAGAATGTGGTGGTGCACACAGTGATAGGTGCTTCTAGCTTTACCTATGTAACATTCTGCTGCATGAGCTGCACTGGTTCCTAGTTTACTTCCAGGTGCAATTCAAGATGCTGATGATTACTTTAAAGCACTATATGACACAGGGACAAGTTATCTGCTGGGTCATCTCTCCCTAAGGACACCTAACTGTTCTACCAGATCATTTAGGCTAGGCACAGTCCTGGTTCCTTTCCTTAAACCAGGGGTCCCCGGTCCGGAGACTGGCACCCAATTGTGGCATGCCAGAAACTGGTCCACCGGTCCAAGCGAAGCCCCATCCACGGGATGCAGGCAGCATGGGAAACCATGCCCCCTCCAGTCCATGGAAAAACCTCTATCCACAGAACCAATCCTTGATGTCCAAAAAGTTGGGGGCCGCTGCCTTAAACATTGCCATCCCATGGGATCTAGGAAGATGTCTTTTCTGTGTCAACATCCATCCCCTTGAAGTTCAGCAGGCCACTACCCTCCCAGTCTTCCATAAAGCACTTAATGTTTGCCTTTTTCCTGAAGCCCTGGGACAGGGTGAGGCGTATGAAAGGATTTAATTGGGACATAGGAAGTTTAACTTTGGTGCCAGGTTTTTAATGTTTTAATAGATTTATGTTATGTTGCTTTTGCTGATGTGGTTTTAATTGTTCATTGGGAGTCACCCAGAGTTCATCACAAGATGGGCAGATATATACCGTACATGTTTTAAATTAAATAAATAAAAACATTATATTCTGTTCTTGCTTTCCTTGACCACACCTACAATTGTATTTTTCTGGGGAAAGGATCTGTACCTAAGCCTCCAGAGACGGGTATTAACATATCCTGATTATGGTGAGATTGAGAAAAATCTCAGGCATCTTAAAATGCACGTGCCCAACTTTTATCAGGCACTCCCTATTATGATCCATGGACTCGGAGAGATTCCAAATGATTATATTGCTGATTATATTTTTCTGTTTAGGGCACCGATATTTCTCCACTATCTTATAACAAAACGGTTTTGTGGATTGGAAAGTTAAGCTCACTCTTTCAGTTTTGTTTTCAAACCTTTTCCTTGGCGGTCAGCTTTCTGAACCGGTTGTTGGCATCGGTAAAGGTAAGGAACTCTGGACTCTCCTAGTTATTTCTGTCGATAATGAGAACTGCAAAGGAGCTCTCATCACACGTATAATCTCAGATGATTAAATCTTCAATCCTAGGCATGTCTTTTTGGTAAAAAGCTCATTGAGGCTTATTCCAAGTATGGAAATAATTGCAGGCTTACAACATAATCCTGTATGTACATAAGTGCTGCATGTATTTGTTAGATTTTATATCCCTACTTCCCTCAAACCAGCTTTCATGGGATCTGCTTTCATGTTTACCCTTCTAAAAGCAACCCTGTGAATTTAGTTGGACAGCGAGAATGACTGGGTCAAAGTCAACCAATGAGGTTCCATGGCTGAGATCAGACTTCAGCTTTGATCCGGCTGGTCCTTCACCGTGATGCTATGACCTATGAGTATTTCACTGTTGATGTTGCAGTTTGTAAAAAGCATGAAAAAAAAGTTATGGACTATATGGAAGTGCTGTTGGCAAGGGGGGAAAAAAGCTGCACTTGGATTGAATTGAAGTCTGTCCTGAATGGGATTGGACTCTCCCCCCCCCAACAAAAGTTCACACATTGTAGATATTCCTTTCCCCCCAGCAGTCACTGGATTTATAGGTAGCAGCTGCAGCATGAAATATGTTTGTACAACTACAACTTTTCTGAGCCAGCTGGGTTTATAAAAAGTTATCCATACCTTGGTTACAATCCATCTCAAATATGCAATGAGATTTATGCAGATTTACTCTTGAAAAGAGTCTGGAATTGCAACTGGTACAAAATGCAATGGCCGAGCTACTAGCAGGGCAAGGGATAAGGACAGTGGTGGGATTCAAGTATGTGAACAACCGGTCCTCTGCGTGGATGTCACTTCTGGAAGTCCATTCTGGGCCTGGAAGCAAAAAAATTGCTACAGGTTCTGCCGAAGTGGTGCAAACCCGCTGAATCCCACTACTGGATAAAGACCATATGATGCTATACTAAACGATCTGCTTTAGCTACCAATTGCCCACCAGGCACATTTTTAAGATCCTATGAAGTGGTGAATGGTAAAGGGCCTGATTCTTTGACAGATGGCTCCTTCCATTGTAAATCTGCCTGGATCCACAGATCAGCAGGAGAAGCCCTTCTGAAAACGATTCAGTTTTATTTGTATTATTCATGTTACATCTTACCCTCTATCTTTTTTTATTGCTGTAAACTGTCTTGAGTGATGGAAAAGGCAGAAACGTATGGTATAAATTCAATAATAAATAAAATACATTCTAGATACTGATTTCTTATTTGGCGTACAGGTATGGATATACAATGTGTGTGTTTTCAGCAACTTGCACAGAGCAGTCCTTTATTCTTTATCTCTCTGTTTTAGGCACAGTTAAAACATCTCCGTTGCATCGCAATAGCTTGTCTACTTCTAGCAGCAAAAATCAACGAAGAAGATGAGGTAGGTGTCTTTTTAAATAAGTAAAGGTTTGGACTTAGTTGAGTAATGCAGAAGATATTATTAAATGGGGCTGATGGAATGGCTCACTCATCAGTCTTTTTTGTCTTTCCCAAAACAACTTTTGCCTATTCATGATTGTGGTGATGGTTCACAGAGGGGCTGGCTCCTGACAGATTCTGATTGGCTGAATGAGGTATTAGTTCAGGGGTAGTCAACCTTGGCTCTTTTATGACTCGTGGACTTCAACTCCCAGAATTCTTGAGCCAGCTAAGCTGGCTCAGGAATTCTGGGAATTGAAGTCCACGAGTCATAAAAGAGCCAAGGTTGACTACCCCTGTATTAGTTTCTAGTAAACCCTTCCATGAAAAAAATCAGAAATATACACTGTTCAAATTATCAGGGTTTTAAAGTGGAGCTGTTTATACTGTATAGTTGTATAGATGGTGTTTATATAGATTGATGTAGAAAAGGTCTATTTCTAAGCAAATAAGATAATTTTTTTCTCTTCCACTTAGTCATGTCCAATTCTCAAAGACTGCCTGGAAAAGTCCATCCAAATTTTTTTTGTGGGGGGAGGGGCAAGGTTTTTCAGAATGCCTCTTTCCTAGGACTGAGAGAAACTGATGGGCCCAAGGTCATACAGCTGGCTTTGTGCCTAAAGTAGAACTAAAACTCATGGTTTCTATCTAACCTGGTGCCTTAATCATTACACCAAACTGTGTCTCTTGTTTGTTTGTGCTTGTATAGATTGTATCTACTGGTGTCGAGTAGGTCTATTTCTAAGCAAATAAGATAACTACGGTAGTGGCTTGGAAAACATGACACTATGAATTATGAGCCAAAGCATCAAATACAGATTACAATTACACAGTTGAGGCTAATTTTTACACTTCACAATACAGATTGCTTCAGTGGTTTTAGTCACATACATAAAGAACTGGTATGGATGAATTAATTTTTATTAAAATGCATGAGAATGTTGTCTTGTAATACACAGTTGAGCATCCTGGATGTTTTGATTTCAGAGAAGAATTGCTTTAGGTATTACTCATTTATTACATGGACAATCCAGAAAGCAGCTCTTCATCTTTCAGAGAATTGTACACACATCACCATTACACAATACTTTGTAAGAACTGAGCTTCTTTTATTATGTTTCCATTTGTTTTTGAACAGATAATACCATCAGTAAAGAAGCTGGCAGCACAGAGTGACTGCAGGTGTTCTCCAGCTGAGATTTTGAGAATGGAAAGAATCATACTTGATAAACTTCACTGGGATCTTTACACAGCAACATCAATGGATTTCTTAAACATTGTAAGCGTTAAACCTTTTGTTGGTTAAAAGACTAAGCTGACTTTTTTAAACATTAGTACACATATATTCCATTCTAGTTAGCATCACAAATGATACATTCTCAGTTACCTGCAAGTATTTCAAAGTGTATTTTTACCACAAAGATACTGAATTTCTATGTGAACACTCTACTTATTCCAAACACTTAAGTTTGATTTACGAATGTAAATTCCCATTTTGAAAGGACAACTGAAATGGATGTTTAAAAGAGATACTCATACTGTCCACTAGAGGTCTTTTTTTTCTTTTGCATACTGCAAAAATATTTCTAACTATCTGACTCTTAATACTGTACGTAAAAAACTTTCAAAATTTTTGCTACATTTCACAAATAGGTCATCTCAGATCAGCCTTTTTTTTTCACCCTGCATAAATGCACTTGACCCTCATTTTAGTTAAAATAGATCATTCTGATCTGGCACTTAAGTCATATCTTAACTCCTAAACATTTATAGAAAGAAAACGTCCTTTTAAGAAGTGACTATGTGCTATAGTAAGGCAAAAAAATCAAGTGATACAACAGTGTCTTAATGCTCCTCCTTTACAATGAACGTAGGGTTTTTCCCTCCCATCCTGGAGAATTTTGGATAAATGTCCTGTTCTAACCAACCAGGATGTTAACTTTATATTCCTGTATGAGTGATTTTTATCACTCTCATTTCTTTGTGCTGGCTTGAATATTACTATTTTCTTATTTATAAATAAAGGAGAATTCGGACTTTCTGAATTTCCAATTGCGACAATGCAATGAATTCAGAATTAGTTACATTCAGTGAAAGCTTAAACATCTCAATATTTGGCAAATACGACACAAATTGTAACAATGGAAGATAATAATCCCAGTTTAAACATCTGGCTGACTGTGCAACCATTATAATAGTTTTTAGAGGTTCCTGCCATTAATAAGAATTAGTTTGCACTTCTGGTCAATGACATAGGAAAACGTACAAAGTTCATTTATTCATATATATATATATACACATAAATATATATGTATATATACATATATACATATACATTCATATATATATATATACACATATATACATGAATGATATCATATACTGATTGTTTCTCTTCTCTCCAGTTCCACGCCATGGTGATGTCCAAGTGGCCCCAACTACTAACTAGGCTGCCTCAGAGGAATCCTTCCCGCCATGTTGCATTCTTGACCAAACAGCTGCAGCACTGCATGGCCTGCCACCAAGTGTTGCAGTTTAAGGGTTCCACACTGGCCTTGGTGATCATTACCTTAGAAGTGGAGAGGCTGACTCCTGATTGGTTTCCTGTAATTACCGATCTGCTAAAAAAAGCACAGGTAGGAGTCAGGTGGGCCTCTGCACTTAAATTGGAGACCAACACCACGTTTCAAAAAGCAGGCAAGCAAACAGGGCAAGCTGACAAGTTGTTTGAAAACATTGCACGTTTTAAACAATGTACTTTTCAGGAGTGCTTGCAAGTAGTTGTTAGGATGCTGTTTCTGTCCAAATGCAAAAGACCAGGTTAGTTTAATGGGATTTAATGTTCTGATGAACTAAAATCATTAGTTTCGGTTATATGGAACCATGGGCTCATGCTTCACTTAGTTCATATTTTCAGGTATTTCAGATGTTCTTACCTCAACCAGAGCATTGCCTCTGCTCTGGCCGTTGAGAATTTGCTAGCACCACTGTCTTTAGCCTGCTGCACAGTTTAGCTTTATAACCCGTTCTGATTTCCCATAGCCACGTAATGGGGTGGCTTAGTGAACCAAGGAGTCGGATTTTTTAACTTCTTTATTACATCAGTTTGTATAGCCACCCATCTTGCAATTGTGATTCTGGGCAACAAACACAGGATTAAAACCACAAAACAAAAGCAAAGCAACAAGTAATAATAATAACAGTAATGATGCCCAAGGTCTCAGGAAATTTTAGGGAGGCCAGTTTGGATATTAGCCAATGATATAATTCATAGCGTTAATTAGGAAAATCATCACTATCAAACCTTATAGTTTAATACAGAACTTGCTTTACTGTGTGCATTACACAGACTTCTTAAAGACAGAAAAGAAACCCTTCTGATATGTTCCCCTTTCCCTGTCCTCTTGAGCTGTTTAGTACTGGCTAAATACGGTTTCCCTGCCCAGTTGTGTTCGACTCTCATCTTCATTTCTTAGCCGAGAGAGCCAGTGTTGTCTGAAAACATTTTCCCTGGTCATGTGGTCAGCATGGCTATAGGCCAAAGGCACATGGAACGCTGTTATCTTCCCAATGAAGTGGTACCTATTCATCTACTCGCATTTGCATGCTTTCAAATTGCTAGGTGGGCAGGAGCGGGAGCTCACCCCATTGCGTGGTGCTTGGGTCTTTCTTAAACCCAGGCTGTTGGTTTTCCAGCTGACAAGCTCAGCTTCTTTAACCACTGAGCCATCGTGCCCACTGAGCCATCGTGCCCTAAATAACAATTAAGTACTGAAAATAAATATGCACCTCTTATAACTCCCAATGAACTTCAAGGCTTCATTGATGCAACAAAGTTCTCATGAAACAGAGCCAAAACTGGGAAGGTGTGATTCTCCCATTGTTGTGCGGCTACATTTCCAGCTCAGGTGTCTATGGATAATGGATAAGGCTTTGTTTTCTTGTCTGCCTTGTTCCATCAGAGGGCATTTGCTCCATGATTTGAAACTAAAAGATAGATGCAGCATTTCTTGCCACACTATGCAAGGATTGGAGTATGTGGCTAAAAAAACAACCACATCTGCTGTGTAATACTTCTGTTGGTTCAGGACTCATTTCACATCATTTACCTTGGGGGAGCAGCAGCTTTAAAGCAGAGCACTTACCCTAATTTTGGTTTATAGTACATTCACAGCATTAAAAAAAATTCTAACATGAAAAGACATAAAAATTTCACATTAAGTGTGAACTCGGCCAAAGCATATCCAGATTTCCCATTTGTTGTTGGTATTGAGTCCAGAGGTAGACTTGACTGGTTTTATAGAACAAACTTGCTGGAATTACTGGAGGTAAACTGAGAGACTTTTAAAAGTAAATTACTGATAGCAGCTAAAAATTAAGGAAATGAGAAGGAAGTAGTTTTATCACATTGAATTTGTATTATGTGGCAGATCGATAGCAGCAAATTCATCCACTGCAAAGAACTTGTTGATCAGCAGATTTTGGGCTTCCAGCTACCCAATGCTGTCTACATTTTCAACCCTGCAAATCAAAACATCCAAACTCACCTGGCTGAAGGATTGCCCTACTATTATTATTCCATGGAGAAGAAAGAAATTGAATTTAAAATGCATACCTCACTCCTCAGAGGCAACGCTTATGAGGATGACCTGCAGACTGATGAATTCTATGATGGATTCAAGTACTTGTACAATGAAGATGGGACCTCAGAAGCTGGACAGAACAGTGAGATGGGAAATGATGTTCAGGGGCAAGAGGAAAGTATCAGTGCTTGCCCACCTTTACAACCTGCCCCTCATATCGATTAGAGATGCCCATAGAGCAAAAAAGGGACCAAATACTAGATAAAGCCAAGGCTAGTGGTGGGATTCAGCTGGTTCGCACCACTTCGGCAGAACCGGTAGCTAATTTTTTGTTGCCCAGGCCCAGAATGGACTTCCAGAAGCGGCATCCACACAGAGAACCGGTTGTTCACATATTTGAATCCCACCGCTGGCCAGGGCTATTTCTAATATTTCATTAGTGAGGGGTATGTATTAATCCAAAGTATTGCCTATACTGTAGCTTTCAATTTTCCATTTTTTAAATTATTTGGACAGACTTGTTTTGATTAGATAAAAATATAATCTAAAAAAACATATTTGGACTATGAGGAGCTACAAGGCAAAACCTCAGATGTCCCAGGCTTAAAAATATTGATCGGGGAGGAATAGGAACTTGCCTAATTTCTTAGGATAGCTTAAGATGTTTGATGTCTATGGAGATCCTCAGTCATCCAGGTCATAGTTATCCCAAAGATGCTTTTTCACGAGGCAACTGGACTTTCTTGTTTTACTTTGAAGACATTTCTCATCCAAGAAGCTTCTTCAGCTCTGACTGGGTGGTGGGGAATGGAAAGATTTATACGCCTGCAGAATGCAAATGAACAACTGTCTGCAGGAGTATAAATCTTTCCATTCCCCACCATCCAGTCAGAGCTGAAGAAGCGAAATATCTTCCAAAAAAACCTTAAGATGTTTGTTATTATTCAGAAACTAGCTTGGTTCTCCTATCATTTGTTGAATTTCTGCAGATGAAGCTAAGGCTGCAGGTCTGAACTGTTAGGGCAGAGATTTATTTGATGCAAAACATCTGAATCACCACTGGGCCATCACTTAGCTGAAATGAGTTCAGCTGCTAGTGAAATTATGGTACAGAAAAGAGGCGGCTTAGCAAGCAGTGTAACTTTTCTGGTTGTTGACTGATGTTCTGAAATGAGGTAGCACTATAATAAATGGTCAGCACACTTCAGAGTAAGATCCAAAGATTTTCAGTTGATGGATAGGCTTTACAAGTGAGCAATTTTTTTTTTACACTGCTAGATACCACAGCCATGGCTTTCCATCCCTATATAAGCAGACATTGATCCAACAAACATGGGGAAAAAGAGTGTCCCAAGCTCCATCCTGTGCCCCCAAATCCCACCCTTTCTTGGACTGTGAGGCCCTGTTCACAATCACTCGTGTCTTGGTGGGCTTCTGCATTCCCAATCCTGCAATGCACTTTAGTGGGACCTGCCCTGGAAGAGCATCCCGAAGCTACAGCTGCAGTGGTGCAGGCAGTTTTATGATCACTTCTTGATCAATGCATGCTGCACTTCTGCTTTGCAAGCTGCACTGGCTGCCAGTATTCTTTGTTCAAGTCCATAGTGCTGCTTGTAACCTAGAAAGCCGTTCGTGGCATTGGGCCAGGAGGAACCCCCTCTCCCTGTTTATGTTCACGTTCCCATTAAGTCTGGCAGAAGAAGTGTGCTCTGGGTCCCATCTGTTAGGGAGTGCCCTTTGGTGGGGCCCAGGAAGAGAGCTTTTTTGTCATTATGCCCACCCTTAGCAATATCACACACACACACATACACTCCGAGATTAGGTTAGCCTTGACTTTGTCATCCTTTTTCAGGCTGTAAAGATATGGTTCTGTTACCAGGCATGGGAGACAGGATATGTGGCCGAGTGCATACAATGGTTGGGGTGTGTTGATTAGTTTTTGATGAGTCTGATTTTACCCCAACTGTGGCTTATGTGTGTGCTGTCATTTTTTGCTTTTTATTTATTTATTCACGTTATTTATTAAATTTATAAGCACCCATCTCACTATCAAAAAACTTTTTATGTTGTTTTTTTCAAAAACTATTATCAGAGTCATGAACTTGAGATGGACAGCCATATAAACTGAATGAATGAATCAATAAATATTTTTAAAGCTGATCAGATTTGCACACACAAGACAGTGAGGAAAACCTAATGTGAGTTTTGAGAGAAAGCAGCTTATTGTTTCGTATTTGCCATTTCCCCCCCCCCCCAAAAATTATCTTTCAATGCTGTCTTATGGAGGAGTTGGATGGCCTTCTAAATCCAGCAAATGAATAAACTCCTGACTTGCAACATTAGTCAGGGCTAAAAGGATCAACAGTTGGATTCTCTCTTGTGAGAATCTTTTTCTATCTGATGCTACTGTGATGTAATGAACTTTTCACATGAATGTTGTGAAACAAGGTGAAACAAACCATACACAAAAAACCCCAAAAAGTCCTCATTCCTTACCTGTTTCCAAGTGGATATTGGACTCTATAGCACTACAAATGTTAATATAGGCAAGTGTTCATTATTATTAGTTTCACTATATCAGAAATTAATTTAGAAAGTGAACTCCTTTCCATGCATCTTTCAGCTGGCCTAGGCAGCATTTTCAAATCGTCCGCTTGAAATAGTTGCATACCTGGTGATCATGTGAATGAAATAAGCGTAGCGAAAGGTATGGGAATATATCACAGCAGCAGCAGTTTGAATGCTGGGTCTTTCCCCCAATCATTATGAAGGTTCTTGTGTGTGCTCAAGAACTCAAAATAGTGCCTTGCCAGATTCATAGTGCAAGCAGTCCTTGACTTACAACTGGTAGCTTAGTGACCAAAGTTACGATGGACCAAAAAAAAAAAGATACTTACCACTTGGATGACTGCCCCCCCACTGCAGTCATGTGACCACAATTTGGGCACATGACTGCATTTAACTTTTTTTTTTCTTGCCCGAAACTAGTGTTTATTTCTGGTTTCCAGCAAAAATGCCCATTGTGGACAATGGTTCCC